GTCGTACTGGAGCACTGACCTCTATAAATGGATAGGTTGCGGCATTTGTCTATTTTAAGTAGACATTTGAAATTAAAAAGAACACAATTAAATACTACAAAATTACATTATAAAAGGAGTTCAAACAGATTAATTCATAACTTAATAACTTAAAAGTTAAGTGTTAATAATAATTAGTTTTACGAGCACTATTTACAATCAGTTCGTATCGATTTCTTATTTTACGATAATTATCTAAACTTGCTCTTCAAGACTCACATCTAGTACATTTGAGACCAAATAAATTGGAAAACGGACATAAGTAAATTAGTAAATTATATATAAAACTGTTTTTCTATCAAGACTAATATAATAAAGCGTAATTTAATAATGTCAGCAATCAAAGGATATTTTTGAATAAGTCCTGTTTTATTTAATTTTTGGGCATATAAATTAGTAAAAAAGTCATTTATGAAAGGGACAAAAGCTACAACTACAAGCAAAAAAGTAACATTACAATGGAAACTAATTGTTGTCCAATGACACTGACCTTTAATATTAACAAATGAAAGTTAAGAAGAATATCATGCGGATAAAGCCGCACGGAAATAGCTAGTAACTATAATAAAAAAATCTAGTATTGTATTATAATTTTACATTATACATTGCTGTTTAAATTCGTAGAAATACATTGTGAAGAATATTCAGTCTCTATATTATTTACAAGACTTCTAGTTTCATCTGTCTGTCCGTATGTGTTACGGAATCTAGCGCCATCTGCATTAATTTGTAAACACCAATTTTTCCATAACATTCGTTCATTCCGCAGGTTTCTTGTCTCTAGGTAAGTACCAGGAAAAAGCTATCGCAGCTGTAAAAAAAAAATTAAAAACAACTAGAGTTACGAAACATTCAAAGTAAACAAAAATAGAAATAATCGTGGTAAAGTTTTCTTAACACGTTGCATATTTCATTTGCGAAAATTAAAAATGGAAGTTTGTTATTATCTACATATCTCCAAAACAACTGAACAGATCGATAAAAATTGACACACATGTAGAAACAAAGTCTGAAAGGACACATAGGCTACTTTTCCGAACTGAAGAAGTCGCAGGACAACGCTAGGCCAAAGCAATACAGTAAAAATGTCATGATCGATAAAATCTGCAACTAGACCTATGAAACTTTTAAATTGTATTTATTTTTCACGAAAATATCAAGAAAAAAAGAATTAATCACAAAATGTGTTACTTACTTAGTAACAGGAGAGACCATCCATAGAATGTGGCTTCACAGTTGGCGGATATGAGCGCTCCGATCGCGTTGACCCCGAGGAAGGCGCTGGACCTGCCCAGCATCACCGACAGGCACGACGCCATCCCTCTGACAAATACATACTCTGTATGATTATAGGCTTTTATTCGTCAAATTGTACATTGAAAATTGTTTATTTCCAGACATTATAAACAAAAACACTGAAGATGATGAAATTTCGCACAGTCTGAAAATACATTCGAGTTTAGTTGTTTTAATATTCACGAAGTGCGGACAAATGTTAGTCGTAACTACTATATTTATTTCAATGCGTCAAATAGAAAATCAAATACAAATTACAATACTTTTCTTACCTTAAATGTGTTGGGTAGAGCTCAACAAAGTAGACGCTAAGAATGCCCATGGATAGCGCACACATCAAGAAGAAG